CTCTTCCTCAGTTTCTCCCCCCTCCATGTCGTTCCAAACCCCTTGCCCTCCTCCCTCTTTTTTCCTCGACACCACCAAAAATAATGGCTAAGGCTTCAAAATTTCAAAATCAAATAGAAATATATTGACTTTCTCTGTTTTTAATAAAATAATCTTTTATTTCTTATTTCATTTTCTATAAAATGAAAACCCAATTGATTTCTCCACTTAACTTCTAGAAGTACCTTTGTTTCTTCTTCCTTTTTCTGTTAACTCAAACCAATTGATCAGTTCTTTACTAAAAATAATGACGGAGGCAACGAAATTCCAACTAATAAGTTTTTCAGGTGATTTTGAGATATTGGAAGTCCAATCTGGATTTTTCTTTTTCCTTTTTTTCAAGGGATTAAGATGAGATGGAGGATTTTATGGTGATTCCGATTGGTGATTTATACAGGGAGGTGGTGGTTGCCTGTTATTTGGTTACAATGAAGAAATACTTTTGCGGCGGCTAATTTGTTTTTGTTTGGTTACCAGTCGTAACATTGGGGAGAAGTTAATGGGTGAGGGTGTACTTATGAATGAAGAAGAGTTCTGCCTGGGGAGATATGAAGGATGATCTTTGGTGGGGTTATGGATGGTTCACGGTACAAGAAAATACTTGGTGAGAAAATAAATGATGTGGCATATATTGGTGAAAAAAAGACATGACACGTGGACTATCAACAAGGTGACAGGGTATGGTACGTGGAACATTAATATAGTGACAAGTGGTATTCTTAATTAGATGAGTTAAAGAATGCGAAAAAAGTACGAGAGAAACACCCACGAGGTTATACTGAGGAAAAAGCCGGACCTGACAAGTGTAAAAAGGGGAAACATGAACGAAATGAATAAAGGTTGTAAAGAAGGGAAGATACACGAATATGTCATAAATAAGGAAAGGAAATCGGTACGGTTACAAGAATTGTTTTTTATAAATATTTCCGTTACAGTTGTATATGGTAACTATAACGACGCGGCCAGTCGTTTTGAGTATTACAACTCATTTTCCCTATTTATTACTCAATTTATGCTTTACAGTTGTTATGTGACTTGCCGGGGTAATTGGTTCAGGTCCGGTGAGGTTTTGGAATGAATTGTAACACTTAGTTCCAAGGTTTAAAGCTTAAGTTAAAATAGTGACCGGATGTCGACTTATGTGTAAACGACCTCGAAATAAAGTTTTGATGATTCCAATAGCTCTGTATGGTGATTTTGGACTTAGGAGCGTGTCCAAAAAATTATTTGGAAGCCCGTAGCTAAATTAGGCTTGAAATGGCTAAAATAGAAATTTAAGTTTGGAAGTTTGACCGAGAATTTTGGTATCGGAGTCGGAATCCAGTTCTGAAAATTTTCATAGCTTTGTTATGTCATTTATGACTTGTGTGCAAAATTTGAGGTCAATCGGAATTGAATTGATAGGTTTCGGCATCGAATGAAGAATTTAGGATTCGTTATTTTCGTTAAGCTTGAATTGGGGTGTGATTTGTGATTTATTATTTTAGCATTATTTGATGTGATTTAAGGTTTCAACTAAGTTCGTATGATATTTTAGGACTTGTTTGTGTATTTGGTTGAGGTCCCGGGGGCCTCGGGTGAGTTTTGGAGGGTTAACAGATCAATTTTTAGACTTGGAATGCTGCTGGAATTTTTCTGATGTCTGCACCTGGTTTCCTTCTTCGCATTCGCGAAAGAGGTCTTGTATTCGCGAAGAGGAACTGGAGGTAGGCGAGGTTGTTCATTGTATTCGCAACATGGGGCTCGCGTTCGCGTAAGGCAAGGAGGTGAGGCTATGCGTTCGCGATTGCGCATCGCGTTGGCAAAAGGGCAAATGGCTGGTGAAGATTTTTGCCTTCGCGTTCGCGAAGTGTAGGCTGTGTTCCCGAAGGTTCGCCTGGTAAAGCATCGCGTTCGCGACTGTGGTCTCGCGTCCGCGAAGAGCAATTTTTGGGCAGCACAATTTTGTGCTTCGCGAATGCGAGGGACCTGTCGCGTTCGCGAAAAAGAAAAGTCTGGACAGAATGTTTAAGTTCTGAAATTTTCCATTTTTACCGATTTGGAGCTCGGGGAGAGCCGATTTTCTGGAGATTTTCAAGAAAAATATTGGGGTAAGTATTCTTAACTCAATATTGGTCAAATTACCCGAATCCATGGTTGTTTTTAACATTTAATTGGTTAATTAAGTTGGAAAATTTAGAAAACCCTCTTAGTTTAATTCGAAGATTTGAGGGTCAAGTTGATGTCGGAATTTGGTAAAATTTATATGGTTGGACTCGTGGTTGAATGGGTATTCATATTTTATAACTTTTGTCGAGTTCCAAGACGTGGGTCCCACGGGCGATTTTTGAGTTAAATTTCAAATTTTGTTGAAAAATTAGTATTTTCATATGGAATTAATTTCAATTATTTGTATTGACTGAATCGAATTAATTGTGACTAGATTCGAGGCGTTCAGAGGCCAATTCGTGAGGCAAAGGCATAGCGGAATAAAGAATTACACGGTTTGAGGTAAGTAACACTTCTAAACTTGGTTTTGAGGGTATGAATCCCCGAATTTAGTGTTATATAAATTGTTTGGAGGTGACGCACACGATAGGTGACGAGCGTGTGGACGTGCACCGTAGAAATTGTGACTTGAATAAATTCTATGAAGTTGTAAAATTAAAGAATCATGTTATTATTCGCATATTCTCCACGTGTTAGGAAATTGAGCTGAGACTCGTATTAAAGATCATGATTTGGCTACGTGCAGATATTTTGGGACCCATATGGGTCGTATTGTTGTTGAACTATTATTTGTTTGAAATATAATTTTGTACTCAGTCACATCTGTCACTTGCATATCATATCTCAGTCCCTGTTGTCATTTATTGATACATCATATCACCATATCGAGTAAATTTTTATATCATTGAGAGCCCGAGAGACTAGAGATTCTGAGTGATATTTACGTTTATTTATTTATGCCCGGATCTGGCTATTATAGTGCTTGGGCTGAAGGAGCCCCTCCGGAGTTTGCACCCCCACAGTGATTGCAGTTGAA